GAAACATTATGGTTGGTTCTTGTTATTTTATTATTTTATATTTTATTGTATTGTATTATTTTATTATTTTTTATTTCATTTTATTATTTTATTTCATATTTTATTATCTTATTTTTTATTTTTTATCTTATTTTATTTATACTTTATTTTATATTATTTTTATTTTTTATTTTCTCTTATTTTATTATTTTTCATTTATTTTTTATTTTTTATTTTATTATTTTTATTTTACTTCATATTTTATTATTTTATTTATTTATTTATTTTCATTTCATTTTATCTGTTCTATGCCTTCTTCCACCTCCACCTACCCTTCTCTCCTCAACAATCACCACACTGTTGTCAAGTCTGTGAGTTCCCTCTCTTTTTTTTCTTTTTTGCTCAATCTCTCTACCCTTTCTCGCCAACCTCCCCACTACCCCAATCAGAACTGTCTGCTCTCTATCTATGAGTCTGTCTCTATTTTGCTTGGTAGTTCAGTTTGTTTATTAACTTCCACATATGAATGAAATCATATGGTACTTGTCTTTCTCTAGCTTATTTCACTTAGCATAATACTCTCCAGGGCCATCCATGCTGTCACAAAGAGTAAAATGTTCTTTGTTTTTATGGCAGAGTAGTATTCCATTATATAGATGCACCACAGCTTTTAATCCATGCATCTACTAGTGGACACTTGGGTTGCTTACAAAACGTAGCTAATGTAAATAATGCTGCTATGAACATAGGGGTACATGACAGTCTTTTGAATTAGTGTTTCGGGTTTCTTGGAATAAATTCCCAAAAGTTGAATCACTGGGTCATAAGGCAGTTCCATTTTTTATTTGAGGAAACTCCATATTGCTTTCCACAGTGGCTACACCAATCTGCACTCCCACCAACAGTGCACAAGGAATCCCTCTTCTCTACATCCTCGCCAACACTTGTTTGTTGATTTATTGGTAGTGGCCATTCTGACAGGTATGAGGTGATATCTCACTATGGTTTTAATTTGCATCTCTCTGATGATTAGCATCAGAGATGTTGAGCATCTCTGCATATGTCTATTGGCATCTGTATGTCCTCTTTGGAAAAGTGTCTATTCAGGTCTTTTGCCCATTTTTTAATTGGATTTTTTTTTTGGTGTTGAGTTTTATAAGTTCTTTGTAAATTTTGGATATTAACCCCTTATCAGATGTATATTAGTGAATATGTTCTTCCATTATGTCCACCTTTGTAATTTAAAAACATTCTCTAAATTTTATTATCAGTTGCTAACTGTGGTCAGACAAATACATGGCACTCCTACAGTAGAAAAAGACACATAAAATGTGATGATAGTGCAAAAACCTTGATATTCTCAAAAGTCCATTTGAAGAAAGCACATGTGTTTGGCCTATAAAAATTGATTATTTTTCTCAGGTAAGATCAGAATAATCTGATAAATGAGATTTAAAATTGAATTGAAGGCACCATACTGGTGAAGCAGCTTTGTTACTTTCTGTCTCCCACAGCATGGAGGGAACATTTTAAATTGTTAAGCCGTGTCAATTTACGATGATGATTATATAGTCATACATCCTGCCACAAATCTGCCTTGTTACCGTTTCCAAACATGGGGTCTGTTGTTTTCTTTAATATTGTCACAAATAGGCATCAAATTGCCCTTGTTTATTGCACATGACTAGGATAGCAGTAGACCTTCTGTCAAGTATACTTCTATGACTTTTACAGCACTTGTGTCTATGGCTATAGCTAGGCCTCTCCACTCCGCAGCCCGGCGAGTTAAACTCTTTTATTGCAACCTATTGATCTAGCCATGAGGCATTAACCATGTTTCCTCTGGTATGGTACTGTAGGAACCCAACCTCTTGGTAACCTATTAAGTCTATGCTGTCTACAAAATAATGCCATCTAAGACTTGTAGCCCAACTATGGAACTTGGGAAATACATGTATATTACTTCAGTAACACCTTTACTTTTAAAAAATGACCAGCTGTTGCTACCTTTAAAATGACTATCATACCATGACTACTTTCTGTATACTCACCCGGTTCAAAGCTGGAAACGGCATACTATCAATGAGCAGTTCAGAAAACAACACAGAAACCTCCTGTGCTAGAGAGAACTTCACTGTCCTCATTCTTCTCAGTAATATAAACACAACTTTATTGTTGAAAGTATTACAGGTGTCCCCTTTTTTCCTCCCCACTGGTCCCCTTCACCCCACATCCATCCCACTCCATCCCCAGTCCTTCCCCATACCACTGTGTCCGTGGGTTATGCGCGTATGCATGTAAGTGGGTGGTGAGAGATTAAACACCCTTCTGCCTGAAAGTCCTCCTCATTCTTTAGATTTTTGTTCAAATTAAAACTTTTTAGAGAGGCTTTTCTGATTATCATATATAGCTCAGCATCGCTTATTTCCATCCAAAGAACATCACCATCAATAATAATGTATTAGTTTGCATATTTTCTGACTCCTACCAACCAGCATCTAAGTTCCACGTGAGGAACCTTTTCTGTCTTGTTCACCACTGTGTTCCAAGCACGTGGGTCTAGAACAGTGGCTGGCTCATAGTAGGCACTCAATAGATATTTATTAAAGAAATAAAGTGTATAAAGCTTCTCCTCCTGATACCCAATAACCATCCCCCCCAAAAGGCCCTACATTCCTTTTATTTTCATGTCAAATCTAGTAGTCTTGGAGAAATTGCTTGACTTATGTGCTACTCTCTAATTTTAAAAGATCATTTAAAATCTCTAGTTTCTCTGTATGTCAACTATTACATGAGTCAAAATGCAATTGCACTCATGAAGTCAAAAATTTCACTTTTATTTGTACTTCTGAGGAACTTCAAGAGCAAAAGCTCTTTTCTACAAAGTAGATTGTAATTTACTCTCATTAAAATTATCTTCCTTTCAGACAATGGAATAATAATAGTTTAAGTGACTTGAAAAAAAAATGCCTTGCTTTTGGCAAAACCTGCTATTCTTTTAAGATCCATCATCAGAAACTACTAAAGATGTTTGTATCTTCAAAGCCCATGTTTTGGGGACTCTAAAAAAGTGACACGTTATAGAAGTTATAAGTGGAAACTTCAAACCATTCATCTATATCAACTATATTAATAATAAGGTAAAGAAAATTATCAATTTGATCAGCATTTATACATTCTGGCAATTAATGGTAGTGATCTAAAGATATAACACACACAAAGGGCCCTTGGCTTTGCAGCCACCATACCCAGTTCAAAGTAAACAATCTCCAAATAAATATTTGGATAAAAATACAACAGGTGTTTTTCATTTTTTTTTCCTGGTGGGACATACACCCACACAAAACTCACATATTTACGAGGCAGGGTAGAAGAGTGAAAGTATAGAAATTATATATGTGCATAATTTGCCTCTACCTCTTAATGGTTTGTACTTGAGTGTATTACATATCTTTCCTTCATCGAATATTCACTGAGCACTTACTCCGCCAGCCCCTGAACTAGGTGCTAGGTCTAAATATATGCCCTTGCAGGAGTTTAGAGACCTCGTTTAGAGCCTTCCTTTTCTCCTAGATAAAACGAAAATGATACCAACCCCAATGATGATCAACCAACATAAAGCAGGCAACATACTTAGCATGAAACCAATAAATAACTTATAATGTTTATAATTTTCAACATGGTCACACTAACCCGTGGTCTACATGACTTCTCCTAGTAATTTACAGTATGCACCTGAAATAAAAATTTACATTCAACTTCATTGACAAGAATCAGCCCATAACTACTGGCCTGAGCATAAAATAAATACTAAGAAAAAGAAATGAATTTAAAAATTTGCAGTGTGCCTAAAAGTGTATTAAATACATGTTTCATTTGGCCTCAATTCTTTGATTCAATGAAAAGGTATGAAAATCCACTGTGTTGATTTTATTTACCAAGATTTTTTCACGTAATATCTTCAGCAGGTTGCCATTAACAATTAGGTGCTAAAAAGAAGTCAGAGGAAAGTGTGCATTCAGTACCCATGGAGATTCAAGAGTTCCTTTTTTTTTTCATTTTCTGGTTCTCTATTTTATAACAATTAATTGGTTAAATCTAGGAATATAGCCAAGAAGTATTATTCTGTTTCATGGAGAATTAATGTATCTAATTCAGCAGTACATGAGACTTACAGTGTAAAAGAACTATTTTATGACTATCTTAAAAAGGTAGTCTCTTATCTTCTCATGGAATAAGAGATTATTGTTCAAATGTCTGTCATTACCAGACCTTCTAATAAGTTCGCTAATTACTTGAAATGACATGAGAAGAAGTACCACAAATGAAAGAGCAATAGTTTGTCAGTTCTTCTGAAACTACGGTTCAGTAACCCAACACTCCTATTTCCTTAACATCAAGATACTAATTTAGAGTTATAAACTGCTATAATAATAATGATGCGAATTAAAGAAAAATTATTAACTAACCTTTCAAAAGGTAAGATGGTCTTGATATTATTTTATTAACATTGAGGATCAAGTTTGACACTGTATGTAAGTGAACATGTAAACTGCAAAGTGCTAAATAAATGTATAGAATTTGTATCATCACATAGTCTCAGTGTCACCAGACAGACCATTGTTACATATATTAAAAACTACTGAGAAGAAAGTTTCCTCATAGCAAATTGGCATGAAATGAGATTTTAATTAGAAAAAGTGCCTCATGTCCTCCTCAGTTATGAGAGCAAAGTATAATGCAAAATTCTTCCCTCCTGCACAGGGGATAATAGCTTTTTGAAAATTACCAAAAGGCAAATACTCATTTTATTAAGTCTCTGAACAAAATGCCCCTGACACGTATCTTTTGCTACGAGGCACGCAGGCACCGTCTCACACACAGGCCCCAAAGCTCTGGCGTTTTCAGCGCTTTCTCACTTCATCTGAGAACACACGGGGAAAGCCGAGATGCAGTAATCATGTTGTTAACCTGCACCTCGACTACTTTTAATCTCCGTTTTAACAAAGACAGCACGCTACCTGATTGAGAGTGACAACAGAGACATGCAGCTGTATTTCTGCCACGCTGCCGCATGTCGCTGGCTGCAGGTTAGGAGGACGTCAGAAACCCTGCTCCAGGGATGCGGATTCCGGAGAGGCTGGAAAACACAGAGTGTGGATTTTGGAAGTGTCAAGTCAGTGCTGTGTGGTGCTAGAATGTCCCAGAACTTTGCCAAGAAGCATAGGCCCAGATGCTCAAAATATTACACCAAGTGATGATGCACTGAATATGGTACCATTAAAGAACATGAACCTACTCCATGAAAATGTAGGAAAATCTCTCTATAGAGCAACATATAGTTTTGCCAACATCGGAGAATGTGGAAGTAAACTAGACAATACCTCATGGACTTTCCCAGCCCCTATATTTCACTGTATGATCAGAATATTGCATTCTTTGCAAATCTAAGCCAAATTGATGTTAACTTTCCCAAAAGTCAGTTTACTCCCTGACCTAAAGTGTAATTTTTAATCCTAGAGTGATCCAATAGTGTAATCTCCAGAAGCAAGTTCTGCGTGAAGGAGCCTGCACTTCCCTGTCAGTGAGTCATGAGAGATGAGGGTTTGCAGTCCCAGGGACACAGGGAAGGATGTGCACAGACCAGGAAATCCGGACAGAAAAGCATCCAAGGCCCTGCACAGGCTCAGTCGTCAGTCACAAATTCATAAACTATCATGAGCATTTTGACCTTGAAGTCAGCATCTTCAAAGTTCTATTTTCCTTGTTTGTAAAAATGGAGGTGAGTTACAAAGTATGGGAGAAAGCCTGGGATTTCAGAGCATCCTACTAATGCCCCAGGATGCACGGAAAAGCAGGACACAGACCCTCCGCATGGGTATAGCGGGCTGGCAGGATGCTTTCATGCGAGATTATGGGCCTCGGGGAGGTGTCTAGATTAGAAATACACATTTTGGGTCACAGCACGGTGGGGTGGGGTGGGGGTAGTCAGGACTAAGAGGCATGAAGAGATCAACCAGGAAAGAGTTTGTTGTTAGCAGAGGCGTAGAAGATAAATCTCTAGAAAAATGCCAGTATTTAGGAGAAACAAGGGGGGAAATGCCTGCCAAAGACAAGGAGGCATGAGAAGTGCCAGGAGGGGGCCGGGGGAAGCAGCCAGTGGGGGACAGACTCATGTGGGCAGGAGTTAAATAGCAGCGGCAAATGCAGAAAAGAGAGTGGAACCACTCACTAAATGTTTATAGAATGGGGAAAGGGGGGAATGGAGAGTGCTCCCACCTAATGGCTTCTAGTCTCTCATAAATTAAAAGGCACAGTAAACTGTGGAAAATCAAAATAAAAAATTTGAGTATCGTCTGGAAGAGAGTGGTGAAAATCCGGAATATTCAGTGAGTGCATATTAATCTACTGAAGGGAATCTTAAGTAACCTACTTAAGGAAAAATTTTCTAGGCTACTGAGAGAAAACATGATATACTTACTGCCTTTTAAATGTATGAAGGTGGTACATTTATTCAACAAATAATTGCTAAAGGACATTATGGGAAAGCACAAGGATGCATAAGGCAAATCTCTGACCTGACATCAGAAATTTAACTGTGTAAATAATTTCCAATACAATGCAAAACAGGGCCCCACGCAGGTCACAAGAATTTTGTGTGAGTGTGCGTGTGCACGTGTGTGCGCGTGCCTTTGTGATGCATGTGTGATGTGTGTGTGGTGGGGGGGAGATGATGTGTGGTATGTGCATGTGTATGTTTGGGGCCAGTGGCCAGGCCGCTCCATCCAAACCCTTTTCTCAGTCTCTCAGGGGACAGGGCATGCACTAATAAAATGACTCATGGAATTTAGGGGTACAATATATAGCTTGAAAAGAAGTGTTCCACTATTTTATTCATTGGTAGTGTAATTTGTGTTAGGAACATAACTTAAAGAACCAACTAGAGATGCTAGAAAGGGTCACTCCCTTCTGATTTCCACAATGTACAGTTAGCTGAGGACAACTGACAGCTGCAGAAGCTGGGCTGGCAGAAAGGCTGTTACTCTCCCTGCCCCTCAACTCAGAGCACATTTTCCCCAGAGGTTGACTCCGGGAAAAATATAATCAACAAACACCCTCTGGGCAGAGCTTGGAGGTGAAGTGGCATAAATAGTATTCTCTTTCCTCAAGGAGCTCCCAATTTAATTGGAAAATAAAACATAACCATCAGAAACCTTAACACACAGATTTTGTAAACTGGTCAAGACAACTAGAGAGGAACTGGCTCAGGGTTGTGCATGATTCTCGCCAAATTCATGCAATAAACTGAAATATAAAAGAGGAAAAAGAAAATGTAGTGAGGAAATCAAAGAGGAAAGAATACATTTAAGTGAAAGCTGTGGAAGAGGCAGGAATTATGCTGAGGCTTAAAACTATGTAAAGGTCAAGACCCCACGCAGCACAGCAAAAAATAGCCATCATAATTGGTACCCTCTTCGCCATCCCTGCTGATAAACTCACCCTGGGCAACTCTGAACCATCTGTGTTTCTTCAAAGCGGGTAACTATCAGCCTAACCCTGCCAATGATGAGGACAGCTCTATTTTAGGAGGCATTTGTTTCAAAGATCAGATGTTTGACTGTTTCTTTGTCTTCAGGATTTGCAAAAATAAGACAAGCAATTTGCCTACAAGTTCCCTGCATGGCTGAGGAGCCGCATCACCTATGATGTTCACAAAAGTTGCATTTATTGGTATTCTGTCCTCAGAATTTTCAGAAGAAAATAGCCGTGTTTACTTTACGTGGTACTTTCTGAGCCGTTCATTTAAGATTGTATGGGAAACAGAAAGCCACAGCAATTTACCATAATTAGCACTCTTATAATCACTCAGCAGCAGGAAGTTCCCTGCCCCATTCTCCCACCTTCACCCAGGCTCTGGGCAGCATTTCAAGCAAAGAGGCAAAGGGATTGACTCCATCCTCTGAAAACTCTTAAACAATCAACAACCCTACCATTTCTCCTGCAGTCATTTTTCCTAATCAAGCAAGTTCCATGTACCACCAAGCTAAGTTGTGTTCTACTCTTTTAAACATCTGATTTAAATTCACTCACACAGCACTTAAATTAGTTTGCCCTGGGTACCAAATTAAATACCATATGGTTTAGGTGTAGGTACTGAAAAGCGCCCCAATCTTTAGAAAGCCCACACTTCTCATGCATTCGGTGAGCAGGGTTATCTGTCCTACTTTTCTTTCTGGGGCAAAGCAAGAACAGAACGAGGGTTGGTGCCAGAGAAGTGGGAAGCACACATCAGGCCGACACAGTGAGTCACAAATAGAATTGGGGGTAAAACCAGGATTGAGGACAAAGAGTCTGAGTGAGAGACATCAAGAACTTCAGAAGGTCAAACATCAGAGTAACAGCCAGGAAACCACAAGCAAGGCTCTCATGAAGGAAGTGAGCAATCAAAATGCAAACCTAGGACACTGAAAAAAATGCAGAAAGCCTCAAAAAAGGATGATCCAGTGCCAAACAGGACCGGATGCCTCATCCCCACTAGCCAACAGTTCTCATCTAGCCCTTAGTGAGGCAATAACTTAAAAACTTCATGCAAACTCCCCACTGGGGCATAAAGATACTGATGGTTACTTGTCAAGTACCTGCAAAGCACTTTACATACATTATTTCATTTAAACCTCAAAACAACTCTCTAGGCATTTATCAATTCTCTGTTTTATGCATGAGAAATCCAAAGCTCAGAAAAGTAAATAACTGCCTTAAAGTCGCCCAGATAGTAAGAGCCAGAGTTGGGATTCAATGTGCTCCTTTCTCTGTAACATGCTCTTATGCTAATGTTTTTACATAGCAAAATCTATGTAGTTCTCTTTCTAGAAAGGAGCTGTCCAATACGGTTGCCACTAGCCACATGTGGTAACAAAATTGAAATTTTATAGAGTCGATACTGGTTATATAAATAAGAGTTGTTCTGGTGTAGCACAATAGGGAGTGGTAGTGAATCCGGTAAACAGGTGATGTGTATCTGTCTAAAGGTATTGAATTTGAAAATTTTAAAAACGCTCTGCAACAATTGCTAAGGAGGGAACCATGAACAACCTCTCCTCTTTGAGACCGTAGGCTTCATTACTCTAAATGAAACAAAGTGAAGAAGAAAGAACGAGGGAAGGAAATAGGTGGACAAAGAAGGTGCCAAGGAAGGAAACTGGGCATGAAATGATCCTGATCACTAAATAAAGTAAGTGCCCATCTGTATAGGACCAAATAAATCTGCATCATCAATTGACATTTATGATATAAAGCCTCTAACATTTCTCAAACGACTTCATTGGATGTGCTGATTATTACATGCAATCATACCTGGAGGTAATGCTAATTCAACAGCTTTTGTTAACAAAGAAAAAAACTGGGAGATATTGGGGAAGAAATTTACTCAGAGTTGAGTTACTCAAGATGACCCTTTTGAAAGCCAGATTATGATTCCAGCCGTGATCTATGGATCAATGCCTTCCTGTTTTATAGGACAGAAGTCAGGAGGGTGTGAGTCGCAGGGAGTAAATGCACAGGGGTCATGATCCTCACTTCCATGTATCTGTAACATTTCCTATTAATATTTGTTGTGCTACTTTCCTTTCTCAGTAATTTAATTCTGAAGCCAATGAATGGGGTCAGCAATAATAGGAGCCAATGTCCTTCATGCAAGAAAGTTGCAGTCTGGCCAGAGAAGACCATATGCCTCTAAGGTAGCTACGAAACAAGATGTTAGGACAGTCAGATGACAGAAGCAGCCAGATGCCATATCCTCACAACCCTTCAACAGAGCCCAACATTTGAGTCCCAAGGGCTATGGTTCCACTGTATGCAGAATAAAAGTGACAGAAGAAACATCTATTTAAATAAGAACCTTTGGTTGTGATTGCGTTCTGTAATCATACACGCACAGAACTGCAAGAGGAAGACCCAGCTAGGCTGCCACCGCCACTAACTCGGAGTTAGACTAGGTAGTCACTCAGCACCCAAAGAAACATTCTAGGATTCTGTGACAGAGAGGTTTGTTCCCTACATTTATTCTAAGTGGTCACAATAATTCTGTGTAAAAACCAGACCCGTCTTTACTATAGGAAAAAAGAGTGGTGAGATTTGGAG